CTCACCCATACCATCTTCAGGAGGAAACCTTGAGGAGAAAGGCCACGTCTCCCGGCTTATAGGCTTGAAAGAATGGGATTAGCACGAGTGGGGTTTGGAGGTTTGGAGTGTGTGGGCATATTTTTATCAGACATGGGGGGAAGTTCCATAACGCGACCGCGGTTTCTTATCAGTTATGTCCGTTCTGTACCATGAAGCAGGTATGGATTTAAGGTGTTATTTTGATGTAAGGTTATCTCACAAAACAGTCTTGCTTTTTTTTTTTTTTCAGAATGAACTATTTCAAGCTTTTAACTGCATCATAATGTTTCCTGATTGAAAACATCTACGAAAATAGTTTTGATTCATTATGTACCGTGTATAGTTTCTGCTGAAGGGTCCAACATCTACCCGTCTCCATGGAAATAGTTTTGCCTAGAACAGTATAAGTGGCATAAAACGACGGTCTGAAGAGAAGTGGCCTCATGTCTTTCACTTTTTATTCCACGTTTAGATGAGCGTTTTCAGGAGGAAATCTGCGTGCATACGGTGTTACAAAAGTGTGGGGAATTCGATTGTGTATACATGCCAGTCAGCGAGGTGGTGACACTAGGTGGTGATGTATGTGACGTAAATGTGTACGTGGCGTGAGCAGATCTGACCAGAGTTTTGTGTCTTGGGCAGTGTAGAAGGAAACGCTATGGCAGAGCATTTTCAACTTTTCCACTCTGGAGGGTGGTTTCAGATTTTTGCGTTTTTAAGCCCCAAAAACACCATCACCATCTAAACGAAATGCACTTCCGATAAAATATTTTGTCTTTTTTACCCGCAAGCGTTCTCTAACAGACCCTTAGTGGACCATGCCAGTTTGTCAAAGCCCGATCTCATCAGGTCTCAGAAGCTAAGCAGGGCTGGACCCCGTTAGTACTTGGATGTTAAACCACTGGAAATAGCAGATGCCACTATGAGGCACTAGTGGCAAAAATTGCAATTGTGTCTTTGAGCAAGACACTTCACCCTCACTTCCTAGAATGAAAGTGTTGTGATGGTCGGAGGGGCCAGTGGTACAGCTGTGGCTGCAATAGTATGTTACCACCAGCGACTGTGGAGTGAATCTTTACTGCACTCTAAAGTGTGTTTGTTGTCTTGAGAGACACGATATAAATCCAGTGCATTTTTATTAATGACATAACATGTCCATAAAAATAAAAAGGTGGCAGACCCTCCACATATTGCACCTTTAAATAATCTTTTTCACAGGGCTGTCTCCTGATCATATAAGAGCTCCCCATTGCAACTGGTTACATAACCTATTTCCAACCAATATGCTCTCGCTGTTCTGTCTAATAATGTCACCTCTAAAAGTGCCGCTGCTGAGGCATCAATCAAGGCATTCCATTAGTGCCATATTACGAAATGTTGCTTTGGTTTTTTTCTTTTTACCAAGACCTTGGTTCATTACCACTTGTGCACATGTAACATTTCTGGTGTTATGTATATTATAGGTTATATGTTATGTTATATATATATCTATGGAGATGAGCAGATGATGCCACAAGGCTAAGTTACAGGTCTGATCTGTGGAGAAGCAACTCTGCTCACAACAAGAAGCATGTGTTTTCAAAGTTTTTAGGAATAAAAACATCTGTAGAATAGTTTTATGCCATATCATAAAACATTCTGGACCCTAAACCTAAAATACAGCATAGTGCACCTTGTAACTTTTAGCCCCACATTTCTAAATCATAAAATCTGAAAAATCAATCCGAAAGTCTCCAAAATGCTTTAAAACCGCCACAAAATACCAACTTTCTCACAGCTGCGCGCTCCACCCTTCCCAGCATCATTACAGCTCCACACCGTGAGCCAGTCGCTTCACTTCCTCCCGTTTAAAGCTGCCACCAACAAAGGAGTCAATCAATTTCATCAGATGCAGGTAGATCGGGTAGCCAGCCTCTCCAAACTCATCCTCCTAGGGCCAATTAGCCGGCCTCGAATCCGAGCTAGCACGCAAACTAACCCGCGCGTCGCAAATTAAGTGCCTTCATTAAAACCAAAAACAGCCTTACTGGAGTTTTAAAATGGCTATTAAGGATCTGTACAAGTGTTTAAGCCATGTGGAAAAAAGCGAGGTCTAATGAGCTTGTTAATGCGTAAGAAGAATACAAAGGCGGTAATGATGGAAGGTGAGTGGAGACCGGGCTATTGCGCCAGATATTTTCCAGCGAGAAGAGAGATGAGGAAATGTCTTGGAAATTTTCATCAAGCGAAGCAGCTATATGTGCTCAAAAACCTAATCGTGTTTTGAGGTACGGCAACAGAGAATGGACAATATTAATAATATAAGAAACAAATATATATGACTTGCTACATGATGGTTTCAAATCAAGTTAAAGGTCCTATATTATCGTATTTTACGGGCTATTAGTCGCTCTGGATTATAAGACGCACTGTCATTAAATGGTCTATTTTCGAACTTTTTTCACAAATAAACCGCACTGGACTTTAAATGAAACACAACAGTGTGATGGGTCAGTGGGACTTTGTTTGGCGCTTTCACGGTGACTCTGGGCTTTGTTCAGTTGTGGAGTGTAGTGGAGATGCGCGGATGGCGGTTACAGCGGGTGGATGACGTGACGAAAAATATTATTTTAATTAAATTCGGGCGGGTGGCGGTTTCACTATTCAAATAAAAAACTCTGAACTCGGAGCATCTGGGAGGAGGCCGAGCGGATGGCGGGCAGGTGCGGTTTTGAAAACTGCTCAAAAACTGTGGTTGCAAATGGATAGCGGGCGGATGATGAGTTTTGTGATGCGGTTGCGGATGAAAAAGTAGCCCATCCGCGCACCTCTAGCGTGTAGGGAGGGTGCTGTCTGGGGCCGCTGGATTGTCGGCGTGTTCGCGGTGACTCAGGCGTTCAGTTGTGTCTAGAAGTGTCACATTGCACTCGCTTTTTCGGTTTGTTCCTCCGTTCCGTTCCTCGTCGGCGTGGAGTGATGAGTGTGGCTGCGGGTGTTTATCGCTGCGTGGTCGCTGTCTGCTCCGTGTGTGTTGTGTGCGCTGCGGTTGGTGCGGCTTTGTAGTTTACTGAAGTCGTGTTGGGACACCCGAGTGGATTTGTGTATAGGGCGCTCTGGATTGCGGGGCGCTTTCGTTTTATAATGCGGTTAGAGGCTTAAGAGCGCGTCTAATAGCCCGGAAAATACGTTACACAAAATTTACTCATTAAATTGTTCCTACGCAATATCTGGTTTCAATAACACTGTACTCTCCAATAATATCAAAACATACATTTCTTTTCCTTTGTTAAATCATTTGAGCCATTCGACAATGCTGTTGGGACAACCAGTGAGAAGGCTTGATGAGGATTATCTTTTTTGCATTTTTTGGGTTGATGGGGAAACTAGTTTGTCAACCCAATTTGAATATTTTTTCTATTTAAAGTACATATAACTTGCCTTAAAATCCTGCAATATTAAGGTTTTGCATCTGTCACAAAAGCACCTGACGTGTTGTTTATGTCACCATATTGAAGGTCAAACTATCGATCTGGACCAATGTGTAGTATTTGCTTGAGTTAAAATACGAAGGATGCGCTGTGCAGTTTTAATTTTCAGCAGCACAGAATCCCGCCTGCCCCAGTCCTCACTTTCGCCAGCGTGGAATCTCCCCTTCAATTTCCACCGCCCAGGATAGCTACGCTTCTGATTTGCCTCTAACCCCTTGTAACTTTTCAGTTCTTGGTTGGCGTAGGACGATGTGGAATGAATTAAGCAGCTATAAATATGCGGATAAAGAGCGAGCGTCGGAATTAGGGATCTATTCCACAACCCAGGAGGACGACTTTAGCATTATATCTTTCTAATGACGGCTGATCTAACGAGCTGGTAATTTCAAACACTTTTATGTTGTTTACGCTCTTTAAAGTAGTCATGATTATATTGTAGTAACTGAATAACACCTTCACACACAAATCCTTAATGGTCTGTTCTACTGTGATCCCTGGTCTTATGGTAAAGAACTCCAGTCTAAAATGTATTTCTCTCTGTGACTAGTACTCTTGTTTTGTTAGGAAAATGAAACCTCTCTATATATGATTTGATCCAAACTTTTACAGTGTGCATAAAGCAATATTTGACCTGGCCACCTTCTAGTTTTAGAACAAAGACTTACCAACTGTGACTCTAACAAAACTGGCCATTTGTGTAGCTCTTTTCCATCGTTATGACTCTAAAGCACTTTACATCAAGGAACAACTCACCCATTCACACACCAGTGTTCGGTGACATTGGGGCGAGGAGGTCTGGAAGTGTCTTGCTCAAGGACACAACAACGGTATTCATCTACTTATAATGTGGGATTCAAACCGCCAACATTCAGATAAAAGTCAAGTCAATCCATTAGCAAGTTGTTGCTGATTTTAGCTTTGGTACTTTCTTTTTAATCATAAAAATGTCCATGGAAATGCAAAACATGCAACATCTAGTTTAGACCAATATTTGTTTTCATATTTTTTATTTTTTTATTAAGAAAAACTCTGACTTGTGTTGAAAGAAAAAATGGAATGAACAAAATTACTCTGTAGCTATAGCTTTGCAGCTTGATTCGTGGAAACCGTCAGCATTAGGATTCGTTTGCTCGACGGTAGGCGGGTACTTTTTTTATTTAACCAATTGCTGCTATTTGGTCGCGACATATGTAATGTGCCAAATACCGTAGGAAGAAGGGCAATAACGTTTTCCCCATGATCAAATTCAACAAACTTTCTCTTTGTTCCGGTTTTAAATAATCAATGGTCTACAACGCGGTCTACAACTTCCGGGGTTCTTGCAAACAGCCTAGTGTATTCTGATTCCTGACCTAGTCGCTGGAGAGAAATGAAATTGAGTGGAGGCACTAGGTGGCTCCAGCCTGGCTAGTAGCTTTGAACCACAATCCAGAATGTACAGTAGGTCGCTAAAATATTTAATACAATATTTAGCAGCAATCTCACTTTCACTTCTGATTGGACATTTCTTACCTGTGTGCGTTCGCTGGTGGGCCTTTAGGTGGGAGCTCTTGGTGTACACTTTCCTGCACCCGTTGAACTGACAGCGGTGAATCCTCTTCTTGTTCTCCGGAATATCCCCCATCCCGATCACGCAAGCCCCGCCCTCGTCCTCGTCTTTTATCCTCACCGGGAGAGCCTGGGCTGCCACTAACCTCGCAGCGCTCAGTCCCACCTTCCTGGCCACCAACTTCAACGTCAAAGTCCCGTCGGCCGAAGCTGTCAAAGTCTGGTTGGGTTTCACCAGATGCCTACCCAGCTCCGGCGACGAAGGGGGCGTCAACGAAGTCACGGCGCTGAGCTGGGCTTGGTGGACTCCTTCTAGGCCTTCCACGTTCTCCATTGCGTGGTTCTTGGGTTTCTGGTCTCTTTTGGGGTTCAGGGACTTGCGGTTGGGGCAGAGGAGGACCGGAGGAGGGCTGGGGGGTTCCGGGAGGTTGGGCAAGTCTGGAACAAGTCCGTCGGAGAGGTCTTCCTCGCCGCTGTCTTCTTTCAGGTACGCAGGGGTGAGGAGGCCATCCAAGTCCTGGTCGAAGAGTTCGGATAGTCGCTTGGGTTCGGTCTGAAGGTAGCGCTCTAATTCGAGGCAAGTCTGTGAAAAGAAAGAAAAGAGTGTGAGACTATAGGTCCATCAACACAACATGCGAAGGAGAGGAGTTATTTAAGATTACAGGAATTCGGACTAAAGTTTTGGCTCAAAATCTGGATAAATGTTCCTCATTTATGGACACTAGAAAGGCTAGTTTGCCCATCTGACCTCCGCCAATCACACAAGCACACAACACTTTCATACTAGGCAGATGGGTCAAGTGTGTTGCCCAAGGACACGACTCAATCCAATAACCTTCAAGTTGTTGGACCAGCTAACAAAAATGTTGCAAAAATACTTCATGCAAAACAATTCATGCTTTCTGCTTTTTTAAAAAATACCCTTTTCAAAGTCAAACTAAAATTTCAAAACATCTGCTTATTTATTAGTCATGTAAAGGTGCTAATACAAAACATTATTAATGAATTTGTACTTTTCACTACTTTTGATTCGTCTAATTTCTGCAGCATTCATTTATTTCTAAGGTAGATTTAGAAACATTAACATCAGCCATGAAAGGAACCAAGATTGACTGTTGGCCTGGACACTGAAACTTTTATAAACCCAAGCACTAACCACTCTGCCAAACCACACGCTTTGTTCTCCATCCAACACTTTGGACTTGAGTATTTTACCTCTTCTGACTAAACCGTCTTAGTAAGTCCCGCTCTTTCAACCTGCGAAAAAAACCAAAATGTAACAAATCGAATCCACGAAGCAAAGGCGCTGCAATTTCCCTTCCAAACACACGTCGAAACAGCTTGCCACCTTCTCCAAAAATATCATTTCCACTCTATTGAGCACCTGGACTGGCAATCGCTCCCATTAACCACACTTTGCAAGGCTGCTTGGTTTTTTCGCTTCCCGGTAACATTTCGGAAGGTAGACGAAGCTGGCGAAAAAGAATAAATCTTGACACTAACTGCTCTAAAAGTCGTATTTGACATGTCGAGCAGTCATTAGATTGGGAGATATGCCTTAAACAGGGAGTAGAGGGGGTTGGAGGGTTGAGGAGAGGAGGGAGGGGAGGGGGGGTTGGTGCCATCAGTGTACCCAGGCGGGGGGACTTAGCATGGCTGCCAGCTGCCACAGGATCGCACGGGCAGATAGGCAGCCGAGATTACCTGATTACTGCCTGATTGATTACACATGCTGGGGCAGAAAGGGAAGTGGGGTAGAGGGCTGCTACGACTGACAAAACTCTGATTACAAAACATGATCTAATATTTGAACTAGTGCTGTCACGATGCTAGAATTTCAAATGGGAATAGACTAGATACTCAAATCCGATTCTGATACCACAAGGATAATAAAAGACACTCTTTATTTAGACAATACAGTGTCATTTTTAGCATTAAATTGTAGTACCTTTTTCTAAATTCTCATGTGGTCTTCTATCTGTGTAATTCTTCAGTGGTCCAGGTACGTTTCATAGTGGTCCATGGTCGTCTATGTGCTGATGTTCTGATACAGCTCAAGATCATTCTAAAGACATTCAGGAAAGCTTCATTTCTGTCCTGTCAGTGTAAATCAGGGATGTCCAGACTTTTTTCATCAAGGGCCACATATCTAAACACAGACGAAGCAGAGGTCTGATCAAGGCCGTAGACTGGTGCTCAATACAGTGAATAACTGAAATATGTGCATGTTTAAACACGTTAGAATGAGCCATCACACTTTATTCATGCTAAGATCCTTAAAACCACACACTAAATTTTAAATATGAGCTTTATCAAGGTAGATTTATAAAAAACTTGCAGTAAAAAGTTCATTTTTAATTGATGCATGGTCATGGGCCAATTCACCTGGAAGCTTGAGGGCCAAGAAACATGTGTCTGAGGGCCGCATTTGGCCCACGGGCCATAGTGTGGACATGCCTGTTGTAAATGTTTTTTTTATCGATATCTGATATTAGTTTTAGTATCGATTGTGATCTGATTTTTGACACTTCTGACTGACCTACCTATGTGATACTAACTAATATCAAAACTAGTATAGAAAATAGATCTTGAACAAATATCAGTGTTGAAAGAGTTATATGAATAGGACACAATGGAACCAGAAACTGTTAATACCAGTTTCATTTTGTTCAAAATTACATTCTATTGTCTAAAATTCTTTTTAATATCATTGTGGTATGACAAATCAAATTAAAGTTAGAAAACACTAGATATAATTTTAAAACTTCAAACTTGATTTCAATAGATGTACAGGAAAAGCAATACTCTATACTATACTATATTTGACAGCACAAAAAATACACTTCTAGTTAAGGTTTAGGGTCCACTACCTGCTCGACTCCATGGAGATGTTATTACTTTTACTGGAATGTTCAACAGTATGGCATTAAACTTAGAAGCAGGTTACACCAACTGGTCTACGCTTCAGTTGAGAGGCGACCCCACTCATAGTAAGAATACACGTTTTCAAGGTATTTGTACGAGCAATTAAAACGTTGAATACATGCAAGATATATGTTTAATGCCATGCCGTGAAGCATGCCAGGAAAGGTATGATCTCCATGGAGACAATCAGGTGGTATACCCTGCACCCTAAAAGTTATATAGTGCACCTATAAGCACTAAGTATGCAGACAAGCCCATCTTTTCCACACTTAAAGCTGCTGTATTAAACAAAATGGAAATTCTTGTGAGCTTTAAGTCATGTTAGAATGTTGTTACCCTCTCAAAAACATACCTGGAGTTGAATTGTGTTTCATTCCCACGTTTCAGTAAGCATTTATGTTTAGTTTGTTTACATCTCCAAAACTCAGAATGCTCTGGTCCACCTTGTGATGTCATGAATCTGTAGGTTTCAGGTTAACAGCTACCTTTTACTGTTCGTTCAGTAGAGAATGGCAATTTCCAAATGATTCTCGTGAAGGTGTATGGAGTTTAAAACACAGTGGAGCATTTCTTCCTGTATTCCTTCCTGCTGCTGTCAGACTGTACAACAAACACTGTTAACACTGAACATGTGCCATTCAAATATATTTATGTGCAATTATTTTTAAGGTTATTTTAAAATTATTTTTAAGCCATTATTTATTATCTTGCATGTGGTTTTATTGCATGTTATCTTTTTCCTGCTGTTCTTGAATTGCGCTTTGCAACAATGGAATTTCCCCACTGTGGGACCTAATATAAGATATGCCTTTCCTATCTTATTAACACACGACATCACAAGGTGGAACAGAGTGTTGTCAGTTTGAGAGAAGCCTAAATATGCAGGAATTATGTGTTAAACATGTGTGAATAAAACAAAACACAACTCCAGGTCATGTCAAAACATTATAACACAGATCATAAAAATTGCCCAATGTGGACCCTTTAATAAACTAATCATTATGGAATTATGTAACACTTTAAATATGACTAAGCAATGTTTTGATAACTCTATGAAAATATTCCTGAAACTCACCATGCATTCCCTGGCATCCGCTACAAAACCCTTCTCGGCCTGATTGATTCCGTCCCCAAAGCCAAGCCGTTGGACCTCCCCCAAGTCCCCTAAACGCTCCGCTCCTATCAAACCACATTTTATAGCACCTAAGCTAGCCATGTGCGCCCCGGCTTCAGTCCGCGCCAAGCCAGCAAGATTTATTCTCCTGTAGTTATGGTTCGCTTCTTCTCTATTACGCTACACACATCCCTGGCTCTTCAAATAAAAGCGTGCATCTCTTATTTGCGCAATTCTGAGTAGTCTATTACCTAACGGCGACGCTTGGCAAAGGTTGTACGGGGAGAGGTGTCCAAGGATAGAGCTATTAACGGACAAGCGGACAGTTTGATACCCGGCTTCGGATGGTCGGGCGTGTATTCGCGTGTACCCGCTAACCTATTTTGACAGGCGGGCGCGCGGCAAGGGAGTCCGGCGGGCCCCCTCAACTTCATTTGTGTGTAAATTCTAACTGACAATCCAGACTGCTCGCGCCATTATAGCAAATAAGGTTGTAAACAGACTCTAGTTCGCACCTTCTAAAAATAAATAGGCGCTTTCTTTTTTCGCTGTATTGGGAATTGGGGAATAGGAGGGGAGGGGTTGTTGCTAAGCGGTAAGATAGCTCTCCGTATGTCTTCCAGGAATAATATTAAAGGTTGACTTCTTGGGTTCATTTTGAAGACAAAAATACAGTGAAAATGAAGCATTAATGTTTTGCCTTGTCTTCAAAATGTGAAAACAAAAAGAATTGTCCAAAACAGAATGAATTTTTTAAAAATAACACAATTCGATAAGAATGTTGGCATAAAAAGTCTTTGTTAACCACAAAAGAAAAAAGTTAAAACAAAAAATGATGTAAAATGAGTTTAGTCTTTGTAACAAAAAAATGTATATCGATACAGCAGCTTACGATATCGATACTGTATCATCATATTAAACGATGCGATATATTGGTATTTTTATATTTTTGCACACCCCTAGAATGGTGTCATCAGAACAACTAACAATAACTAGCATGCAAACACTGCGCTTCCAGACTTAAGAAACTGCTATTAAATTGCGTTCAAAATGATATTTTATTCAATCAGTGGCGAAGTTAGCAATTTGGGGGCCCAAGGTGAACTTGAGTTTGGGGCCCTCACTATAATGCACTTTTTTGTTATGTTTTTTTTTTTTTTTATATATATTTAATGTCCATTTTTCCCCATTGTTGTTGAGACATGCACATCTTTATTTATTTGAATTATGGGAGATTGGATTGTTGTCTTATTTGTTTGGTCGCCTTCTAGATAACCAGAACTGAAAGTAGTTTTTGTTTGTTTTTTTTCTAGTACAATTACATTTTTGTTTACATCCATTACAGATAATTATTTATTTGTTTTTGTTTTTTTTCTTATGATAATTGTTTAAAAGTAAAACTACTCTCATTTAATGTCATACTGAGAGAAAATCAAATTGCTCTGAGGCCATTAGTGGCACTGAGGACAATTGGGGGGCCCTAAGCAGCCGCCTACTTTAGCCTTATGGTAGCACCGCCTCTGTATTCAATATATCTAAAATCA